ACATGTTCATTCTTTCTTCTGATCATCTCTCTCCATCATCTTGTCTGTACCTCATATTAGACAAGCAAACAAATATTAGCAAATACCATACAGCCTGGATGGCTTTCTCCAGAATGTTTATAGATATTCGGTCTCATTACCGACGTGCCAATGTGGGGGCAGGGGTTAGTCTGCTTATGGACAGATTAGCATTCCCTCAAGTGACTTTTTGGCAACACTTTCTGATTTGAAATGCCACATTCTAGTTATATGCCATAAAACAGGACTGCTGCCACATGTTAAAAATATTCCATGGGAAAAATATGCTCTGCTTGGCTCTGTTATTTTCTTGTTACATCATATACACATATATTTTTATCAAAGATTTATGACATCAACATCTTAACTTGTGTTACACAGTATCTTTTGTTGTATGATGTGCAATGTGCCTTTTTTTAAAAGTATATCTTTCTCTATAAATATTAATAACACGAAGCTAAGATTTCGATTGGCACCTGGAGGTGCAGGATTAGAAATAAACAGCTGAAATTAACAGAAAAGAACAGCTCAGGTTCAATCATTTGGAGGGAAAGTAAGAGAAAAGGATGAGATGGTATGAATATGAGAAGAGGAGGGACACGGGGTATATTGGAGAAAAGATCTTAAAGATGGAGCTGCTAAGCAAAAGGAAAAAAGGAAGACCACAGAGAAGGTTCATATATATGTTGCAAACGAGGATATGCAGAGGGTAGGGATGATAGATTTGGATATAAGTGATGAGGTGAAATCTAAGCAGATGATCCATTAGCAACCCCTAAAGGAAGCAGCTGAAGAAGAAGATGTATAAATGTGTATGTCAACTTAGCTTATTATGATATTTATCAGTAACAAGTACGAGTCCATCATGATGGTTTGTTTGCAGTTTCATCATGGATATTGCTGATACTATTGATATTTTGATGAAAGTATAATTTTGAAATCTCAAATTTAGCAACTGCATGAAGAAACTGTAAGATTTTTCCCAATATTTAGGTTAACAATCATTGTTAACCTAAATTGTTAACTTGTTTGTTCTTTAGGAACAAATGTCCCAGTATTGCATATTTGTGTGTGGATTGTTACTGTCAGTGTCTTTTATTTTTTTACTTTTTGAGAAGCAATGAACACCTAAACATCCAGTTTCCTCAAATCCGTCTTTACAGAAGAGCTTCAACTTTGCATTGTTAGTGGGTTTCCTCGTGAACTGCTTGTCCAGATCCTTCCACATCATTTCTGCTGGATGTATATCAGAACATCCAGCATCCAGCATCCAGCATCACAGAACATCATAGACCTGAATTCCAAAAAATAATCTTTCTTTTACTACAAAAACTTTTTGGTAGAACGACCGATCAGTGTTTGTTTACTGGTTGTCTTTTTCTTTCACGTTTTCTCTGGTAAAATTAAGAATTTCTTGTTCCATCACTAATGGCAAGCTGCCCTGGACCAGATGCACCAAAACATGCCCAAACTACAATACTCCCACCACCATGTTTCACAGATGGGATAAAGTTCCTTTGCTGGAATGCAGTGTTCTCCTTTCTCCAAACAGAAACTTCTCATTTCAACCAGAAAGCTTGATTTTTGACTCATATACATCCAATAAAATGTGTTCAGACAATCCTTTGGCTGGTAATCTTGAGCAAACTGCAGGTTTACAGTGATGATCTGTTTGAACAGCAGTGCTTTCTTTTTAAAATCCTGACATGCGTAAAATAGTTTTTTTTTCTCTTTTTTGGTGTTAAACACCATTGTAATAAGTGGTGTGAAGATTTGGGTAAAATGATAAATGATTTCTAAGATTTGAGCTACAGATTTTGAGAAAAAAAAAGGCTTAATTTAAACAGGCGGGCTCAGCATCCTTATTTAACAATATATCTACTGCTGTCTCCTTCCCATATGCAGGTATCACCACTGTCTTGACGATGACAACACTCAGCATCAGTGCCCGCCACTCACTCCCGAAAGTCTCCTATGCCACAGCCATGGATTGGTTCATTGCTGTTTGCTTTGCCTTTGTCTTCTCCGCCCTGATTGAGTTTGCAGCCGTCAACTACTTCTCCACCTTACAGGCCAACAGGGAACACCGGAAAGCAGCGGCCATGAAGGCAGCAGCTCAGGAGGCAGCCGCTGCGGCCGCAGCTCCCGCTGTGGCTGCAGGGAATGACGTAGAGGTGTCCTCAGTAAGTCTAGCTCACCTTTTCAAACTTCTGTTTACATGTATCAACAAATATTCTGGTAATTAGCTAGTTGAAGATGACCAGCCTGCTGTTGTTTCTTTCAGATAAAACATCTTAATATCACTTAATATCACTAGAGAGTAGAGAAATGCCACCTTTACTTTTTGCTTTTCTTTACTTAAACCAGTAAAGGACATGCAGAAAGTGATGGTATAGTATTAGCTCCAGCTTTAAACATTAGAAATTGGTTAATCCCAGCAAATGAATGAAGCATGCCATTTAAAAAATGTGGCTCAGTAACATCTGGCTAATACTAACTTTTTGTGCACTAATTGCTCTGTGAAATGGCTTGCTCATATTGATATATGCCCCTATTTGAATTACACAAATTCTAGAAATTTACTTATTAGTTTTGGTTTTTCTGAATTATAACTCAAGGAAGGTGGGAAGCAGTTTTTTTGTGAAGTATGAGTCATTTGTTTGGGAAAGGCTAAAAACGCAAAAATGAGGTGGCCAAAAGTGCTTGTGGCTCTAAGGTTGAGGTATATAACATGTGCATTATGACACCATCTCTATATATTGTATATCAGGTTCTTCTCCCTAATCATGTGTTTATTTAGATCTGAGGTTTGACTTGACTTTCAGTATCTTGCTAAGCTTCTGTATTTTTATTCATCCTGTCTAGCTTGTGTTTGTCTCTCTTTAGCTGATGAAATCCATTCTTTGCTCTGTGCTGTTATATAACAATTTCAGCGTTTCATTCTTTTCACAGTTTATGTTGGCTCTGTCAGCATGACATAAGCACATCTGTGTGGCAAACAGAGAGCAGTAGATAAAAAAATTGTAATTGTGTTAAAAAAGGCAAGTACTACAATATGCAACCTTTTGTTTAACCTACGTTGAGTCTAATTCTTGAATTCTAAATTGTCTAATCCTGAGTTAGAAAAGAGTTTGCTGAAAAAGACCTGAATTACCTGAACACCTGAATTTTTTTTAGCTAACTCTGACTATAGACAAGTGTCTGACGAAGTTGTATGTATAATAAAAAAAAAAAGCCATTGTTAACTGAGCTCTGATACAATGATTCATGATGGCAGTGATATAAAGAGCAGAGCTGTCTTGAAAAACAGCAATGAATCACACAGCTTGAAATGTAATTATTCAAATTTAGTTCAATTCATTTCTGATATTTACAATAGGAGTTATCTTAGAGCACTCTACACTTTAAATAAAGCCATACTGTAGGAAAAATATAGGTAGTACTCCCTATGAAAACCCACGTGGGGAGAAAACACATATTCAAACTATATGCTGTCTATAGAGTAAAATTATTTAAACCACATTTACTTCAGTTTTATGATCGTATAGTTGTTTCAGCTTCATGCCAGCAATGACAAGAATATTTCATCACTGTGACCGATATCTCCACGACAAATGATTGTTCATTGATCAATGTTTAAAGCTTAGTCTGTACTTATTGCGTCAACACAGTGTGCATCAAAAGCCATGTCACTACCGGAGCCACTCACTTTGATGTCTTTTTTGACTAGTTCGACAACTCCTGTTATTTGTGCCATTTTTTAGAGAATGCTACATGGACACACAAATGCAAAAAGAGTTAGCTGGAGTTTTGAGTCTGTATCCATCATATAGCAGAAGACTCCTACATGGGCCAGTATTTCTTGGAGGGATACAATTACAGCAATTTGAAAGCATCAGACTTTCTACAGAGCAATGTGATGGATCACACAATTGTGCTTGTGTCCGAAAACTGCTTTATTAAATCTTAAAGGCCGCTTTGAAGGAGAAAGAGCAGGTAAAATTGGTTGTTTGAGCTCTGGTTGCTCCAGTCTGCATGCCAAATATCCTTGGTTAAGATACTGACCCCGAGTTGCTCTCCAATGCATCCATAAGAGTAAGAACCTTTATTAATTTTAGATAAAAACACTTACCAAAAAGGAAAAAAATCATAGGAAAATGTACTTGAATGAATGGGGGTGAATGAGGCAAGTTGTATAAAGCACTTAAAAGTGGTATATAGTCCATAATGTCCATTTACCAACCACTTTCATTTTCATATTTGTTGTTTATCCTCTGTTTAGTGAGGATTTAGTTTGCATTCCAATTTATTAATATTAGAAATGTTCCCATTTTAGTGTTACGGCAGATGTTCGTGTTTTTGTTCCCTTTATTTTAAACAGCCTTTTAATTTAAAGAACTTTGTTTCAATACACGAGTGTTGTCTTCAGTCGAATATCTAATAAAAAGAACAATAACAATATTTTAAAAAAATGTTTAACAGCAAAGCCTTTCAGGAAAGACATTTAACAAATATAATAAACAGAAACATAAGAGAAATACCAAATTACCTGAAAAAAATCTTTAATTTTTTGTTTGTATGTAAATGAGAAAGGCAGGCTTTAACAAGTGTAGACCATGCCAAGTCCCTGCTGCATACATGAAGCAATCATGTCAATGCAGTGTTTGTGATATATTGTGAAATTCTGCAAAGAAAATTAAAGGTTGTTCTGTGAGACCTTACCCCTGCTTTAGCATGTTGGTCCTGCTTGACAAGAATAGATTTGATTCTACTCTTAACCTTTTTCCCGTAAGTTCTTTCTGTCGTATTTTTTGCTGACAGAACAAATACGACATTTGCCACATCTATAATGTAAACAGAACACAATACATGAAAAATCAGAAAATCATGCTGTTGTTTGCAATTTATCCAATGCTTCCATCTCATCCTTTCGATCATTTAAATGTTACATAACAACCTTCTCTTTTTCCAGTTTTGCACTCACATAACTCACATGCAGATATAATCTGCAACACACACCTAACCAACCCGTGTATATACATCATCTGCAACAAACTATGTCCCTTGCATCCATATAGTTCACTCATCGCTTTCACCAATGCCTTATCTATCCATCTAGCTACAGTATATCATCCATCCAGCCCTTTCTCCCAGTCCTTTATTCATCCCTGTAAGTGTGTGATAACCACAGTGAGTGACACGGGGAGACAGCCAGTGGCTCAGTGAATGATGTTGCTGCCGATTATGTAAGAGCCATAGATTAAGGGAATATCCAGCATATCACTGCACGCTCACAAGAAGGAGGGCAACCACCACCACAATGAAGCAGAGAGGGGGCTGAGAAAGCAGGCACAGTCCATTTAAAAAAATAAATAAATAAATTTTTTTTTTTATATGGAACAAGATGGAAAGATGGATGATGGGCCAGTGTGGTTTGTTTTTTGTGTTTTGTGTGAGTGTGCATTCGTGTGTGTGTGTGTATGCATTAAAGTTACACTGAGAGGAGAAATGGAGTGGGAGGGATGCATCATGGAAAAGGACTGCTTTCACCAAATATGTAGGAGGAAAGACTCTTTATTACATAGAAAAAAAACACAACAATGGTGTATCACTGGGAATAGAAATAGCCATCTACCAGTCACGATTTAAAAGACCACGACCTGTTATGACTGTCAAGTAAAACACAGCAGGCATGGAAACCTTACAAAAGCTAATTGGTTCAGTTAATGAATCAAATATACAACTGTAAACATAATGGGGGATCGAGTGTTTATCAGTGTGAGTAACGGGTGCTGAATGCATTTCCAGTGGTGAGTAGGTGGTGCAGTATTTAGTGCTGGAAATAAAGAAAATATTTTTTTCATATTAAGAGAAAAAAATAAGGTGAGAGATGGAAAGATGTGATCTTTATGCAGAGGTTGAGCCACGGGTACTTGCAATCAAAGAATTTGAAAAGATTGCGATGAGACACTGATTAAATCAGGACATTTTTAGGGAAATTCTTTTGCTGTCCTGTTGGATTAATAACTAGACTGAAAGAGAGGATTTTCAGGTTCAGGGATCAACACTAACTAAAAAGTAGCGTCATGGATGGTGCATAACATTTTGACTTTTGTTGCCAAGATGTCAGGTCTCTCTTGGAAATGAGATTTTTAATCTCAATGAGATTTTTTTTTTTTTACTTGAATAAATAAAGGACTAATAAAAAATTAGTTTAGTAAGTATATTGTAATGAAGTAACACTTGTTGAATGCACTGATTACAGGTATTTATTTAGAAACTTCTATTTCTACATCATCTAGCAGTCTTCCACCCCCACCCCCTATTTTTGCTGTTTGTAGCTAACTCTATAATAATTCAGTATGTGAAACATGACCATAAATATCCACCTTTATCAACGGTATTATTAAATGATAATTTAGTCATGGTAATCATAAGACATCCAGTTTTTGGGGAAAATTCTGCTGTGAAAAACACTGAACAACTGTTATCTTTCAGTCAACATGAGACAGGAAATAATCAAACCATCAGGGACCAGCACTACATGAAGCTTACATCTCTAGCCTATTCATTATTTAGTCAGCACAGTTAAAGTTTCCAGGCCTAAAATGACTGCCTGCCAGGCTTAATCATTGGGAAATTTTGTATTTTTAAGAACTTTTTAGTAACAAGCTACAACCATTAAGCCAGCTAATGTATGTCATTAGCCTACTTTCGCTTCCCATAATGGCAGTAGTGTAGGAAAGTTAAGTAACTTTCCCACACAGTATGTAGAAATGCATGCCTCCCACTGTTTCCCACCAACTCTTTATTGAAATTTTCAGACGTCATACTAGTAGCAGTTTTGCAATGTAATTTAGTCATGTAAGTTAATTTAGTCATCTAAAATGTGCAACTGTGCCTTAAACTGTGCAATCACCTTGATCAACCATGCTATGATTCAAAGAAGTCATCTGAATTCACTTCGCCTAGGGCAAGATCTCTGTGTTACTGAATTTGCGAGGTTAAAAGAGGTATTTTGTCGCCAGTGTTTTTGAAGGCTTTGATATATGTGTGAACAATTTGTTTCTTATCCTTATTTCTCTGCCAGTAATCTCTCGGTACTGTACGTAAAAGTAAAAAAACAAAACAAAAACAAAACAGTTTCGTGAACCCTTCGTGAGATTAATATGGTCTAAATGTGCAAAATGACAATGATCAGGAAGTTTTTGTCTTTTCATTCATTTATCTGTATCCTTCGATGGTTCATCTTATTGGATCATAACTGTTGTGTGTGACTGTGTGTGTAATATCCATGGCTTTTAATTTGTAATAATTATTTACATATATTCACCCACTTACATCCAAACACCCACAGAGATGAGGCTCCTTAGTGGACAGAAAGTGAAATCTTGCTGTCTATTAACCCCTTCGCACACTATGAAACATAAACACACTGGTGTGTAGCTCTTAACCTGCTCTACTCATGGAGACCCACATCCAAACATGATCCATATATCCGTTAGTCAGCACCCAACCTTTCTGTGAGTCTGCTGAAAACTAGAGCAGTGAATAAGGGACAAGGACTTGATCTCCCATGAGATTTAAGAGGAAGCCAAGAGATCCTGTTGTCATCATGAGCAATAGCTTGTCATTTGGTTCAACTGCAGACATGTGCAGTACACCATGCAGAAGTAATGCATGCGGTGTGTGTACTCACTGCATGGTCTTACCTAAAAGGGAAACAGAAACAGGTAGCTGACATTTGAAGCTACAGCCTGGTGTTGTGAAGCATACAGTACACCACTCACAGATAAGAGGATACACTATTATTCACTGAAGAGTGAACTTAACCTCGAAAATGACTGGTGGTAATGGTGGTTAGATCATCTGGACCTGCTCTCTCACTCACAGCCCTTCCCCAGTGTTGCTATAGAATTTTACAGAGCTTGATATATTCATCAAGCCCATAATAATATAGCTTAAAGAGAATAGAAAGGTTTAAAATGTTGCTCAAACATTAGCTTTTTTATCTTTGTCCAACACCTCCATATCAAATGTTTGTGACTTGCACTCCTGTGAACTGCCTCAAATGATAAACACATTTAAACCCCTAGACGTATAATATATTAAGATTTTACAGCATGATTGCACTACTCAGCATAGCTGCCATGGAATGACTGATAAATATTTTATATTTAATTTGATTCAGTATTAATGTTGTTAATAACTCTAACTTAACTGCTAATGTATTTTTAGACTGGCCACCATGGGTTTTTTTTTTAGATGGGTTTTTCTTTTTTGGAATGTTTCCCCTAAGCCTCAGGATTGTAACAGTTTAATAGTTTCTTAACCTGTAGAGGAGCATGTAATCCCGTAGCCTCACAAATCCTGCCTAAATCTCACAAGTTCCGTTTTTGTTCCAAGACTGCCAAAAAATATCCACACTGAAGTGAGAAACACTGAATGCTTTAGTAAACTACTAGGAGTTTTTCCCCAAAAAATAAAATGTAAAGAACTGTTCAAACTCTGCTCTGCAATAAATATTGTTCTAGAAACTTGCAAATTTAACAAGGAATATATTTGAAATTTCCATGTAAACAAAAAGTGTCCTATAAAGCATAAATATGGCACAAAACAGCATATATATAATAAATAGTAAATTATATTATTATAAAGTTCAGTGCTTACTCAGTGAAGCTGCTGATCAATACAAGGCCATCGTGTTTGTTCCTTTAAAAGGCAACGTGCTCTTCAGTCGTGTTCTTTCTCACTTACTCTACCTGGAGGCAACACATTGTTACTTGACCCACTTTCCAGATGTACACTCCCCTTACTTTCTGTACACATACTGTATATGATTTACAACTATTGGAGCAGGGAGCATGTGTTGCGATCACGCTAGTTTACTGAAAGTTGATGAGGCGTGAGAAACCCATGCGTCAATTTATTGAGCTTCTTTTGTTTAATATGGTTTGTTTGCCTCCTACAACTACACCAGCCTTGACAGAATGGGCTGAAGTTTTTGCTGGGTGTAATTACTGTGATACTCATACTCATTTTAGATATGGATCTGAAAAAAACATATGGACTTATCTACTTACAGTAGTTTAAACACACCACTATCATCAGAATGGATTTTTCCTTTTTTCCTTATTTCCTCCCTTAACACTAACTAGCATTGATGTTATAAGATACTGACATTATAACATTTTGTTTTCCCCTGGTCTTTACTTTGTATCGTTTTTATTTTCCTCTCCAAGGTGGATGCCAGTAGTGTGCTTAAGAAGAGGATGAACTCCACCCCGATGTTTGAGCGTCCTGCCAAGACATTTCCCAACCCACCGGTCAATGCCCAAGCATTCCTCCAGCAAGGTTCGGCTGTACCGGCCAACAATGTTCTGACTGGCACCAGCATCATCGACAAATACTCACGCATCCTTTTCCCCCTTTCGTTTGGCGCCTTCAACCTGGTCTACTGGATTGTCTATCTTACCAAGGACACAATGGAGATGTCCAGGTGAACAGATGGCATGTTGTTACAAATGATTCCAGCATTTGTTTTTATGTGTTTGTAGAGAGACAACAAACAGATTTTAGGATGACTACTGCCTTACTGAATATAACTGAATGGGTTTTTTTCCCCCCACTCGGCCATGAAAGCCAGATGGGATATTGTCGGCAACCTGCTGGGTGGGTGGGCGGGCAGGCGGCGTCGACACCCACATTTGTGAATGCAATAACTTGAGAGCAACGCGACATAGCAGTATTAAATTAGCTAAAATACTAAAATACTAAAATCTCACACAATTTTGAATCTCACAGAGCTCAGCCTCAAGGTCAAGGTCAGAGGTCAAGCATTAATCTGACTACTGCGAAACATATGTACAGCTTCTGTACTTATAAAAGATATAATGATATATGGAATGTTCATCAAATTATTGACATATGAACAAGAAAATTATTTGCACTTTACATTACTGCTTAGTAACAGTGTGGTAATAATAGAGTAATAAGGTGGAAATGACAAGGTAATAATATGGAAATAGGAGTTTACTATGAATTAAATACAAATTAATATCAAAGTAATATCATGCCTAATCAGTGGCTTTAGCTGAGTAATAGAGTAATAGTAATAGCTGAGTAATAATAATATTGGGTGAGAAGGTGGAGTCTGAAGGAGCAGTGAGGACGTTGGATGGGAAACTGCAGGTTTAGTTATTTTGCTACTTTCATATTAATACCACAATACCACATTATTACCAAACTGTAATAGAACGTCTTTTCTTTTCTCTGTCAAGTTTGCATGCTGAGGTTCTCACACACAGTTGGTGTTGCTCTTTTCATCAGTTACAATTACCTACTTTGATTCCAGATCTTCATAATAAACTTGAAAAGTCAATATGTGGTAAATTTTAAAAGACGCAAAACATGCTTTTTGCTCAAAAAATGCTCATAAGGTTCCACAATATGACTGTGTAATCTGGTTTATGTCCCCACAACAATAATACAATACACATACATGCATACACATTTCTCACAATCAAGAAAAATGTGCGAGTTTTGCCCCGTGTGGTTGTGTTAAACATGCCAGCTGAAGGAGGAAGAGAAAGGCAGTATGCTGATTATGTGGGCAGGTGGTTCTGGAAGTTTACATTTTGCTAAGTCTCCAAGTGTGTGAGAAATAGCTTATATTGTCTTCCTTATTGGTAGATTTTGTTGCGCTTTGGGACCTTGGGCTATTGAGCAAAATATAACTGAAAATATACCCATCTGTGTTCTAAAGTTTGTCTGCTGTCTGTGTGTGTACTTGTGTGTTTGTATATCAATGGGTCTCTGTGTGTAAGAGATAAAGGAAGTTAGAGACAGAGAGAGAAAACAGAATATGGGAATGTCAAGTATTCATTATATATATTGTTTTACATTTTTTCTTTCTTCATTGTGCATTTGCTATTCTGGAAGGACATATATTATTCATCAAATACACAAAGATATTTCAACTTACAGAGACTTTTTCCAATATGACTTTTTCCAAACGTGTTAGAGACTGGTCACGGGGTTGATACTGAACGGACTGCATTATTTACAGGTTTTATGAGTATGTACTTTCAATACATAATGAATTCTTGCCCAAATAGGATGACCATGCAATTATCTTCTGTTTCTCTTAGCAACATTACTAAAAATATATCTCCTAGCCATCATTTGCCATGCATAGATTGCACTTGTAAACAGACATAATAGCTGTGTGCAAAGCTTTAATGAGCCATGCCTGTCCAAGCCAGAGAAAATAAAGACAAAATAATTAATGTATAATTGCTTGACCTCTTTATAAAGTCATAATTCTCTTATATTTGGGCTAATGTGGTACAAAACTGTGAAATATCTGTAATGGCCAGCAGGGGTTGGCTCTCCTAGCTTAAAACAAGTCAAAGTGTAGAGAAGACTAGGATAAAATTAGCCTAATTCACGCATAATTTATTGTCTCAGTCAACATTTCACTAATGACTTAATGGTCTCATTTGGGAATTTCAAGTCATATTGAATGCAAAATTAACTTTATGTTGAATCTGCAGTCACATTAAGTGAAATATATGGTAAAAAGGGACTGCTTGCTCTCTTTATAATTGGTAACTTCATTAATCCACCAGAAAACAACCCTTCTACTCACTTGATCTGTGACCTCAGTAAACACTTTCCTGATAGGTTTATTATCTCAACTGCTAATTTAATGTCTTATTAAAACTTTAATTTATAGTCTAATGAAAATTTAAAGTTTGTTATTGAATAACACATCATGCTAACTTTTTTAATCAATCCACTTTTTAACCTCCTAAGACCTGAACTCTTCCACTGCATGGATTTTTAATTTCTCTTTGATATTTGGACATATTGGGGCCCGATGAATGTAAAAACAAAGATTTGCCAGATTTTTGTTTTTTGCCTTATTTTTGTTTTTAAGAAAAATGAGAGCCACATATGAGCATATTCGTTTAAAATTTTGATAGCACAGTAGCAGTGTAATGTCCTCGTAAGTAGATATCAGGACCTTGTAGAGCAAAATTCAGTATTTTGGTCTAAATAGGGCGATCGTGGCTCAAGAGTTGGGAGTTCGCCTTGTAATCGGAAGGTTGCCAGTTCGAGCCCCGGCTTGGACAGTCTCGGTCGTTGTGTCCTTGGGCAAGACACTTCACCCGTTGGCTACTGGTGGTGGTCAGATGGCCCGGTGGCGCCAGTGTCCGGCAGCCTCGCATCTGTCAGTGCGTCCCAGGGTGGCTGTGGCTACAATGTAGCTTGCCATCACCAGTGAGTGAATGTGTGTGAATGGGTGGATGACTGGATGTGTAAAGTGCTTTGGGGGTCCTTTGGGGTCCTTAGGGACTAGTAGTATACAGGCCATTTACCATAACCCAAAATGTGATGTCCACATATGTGGACACCAGGTCCTAGGAGGTTAAATAGTCATTGATCAGACACACACTCTGTATGATGATCTTTGCTGTGTGCTAACTAAGCTCCCACTAATATTTAGTTTTTCTAAATTTTCATTCAAAATTTCATACAAAATGTGATCTCAAAGAAATCCTTTAGCTTTTTGTAAACATCAGGATTTCTACATATTGAATTCAGCGAAGGAGACAGCTTTCAAACAATACACCTTAAGCTTACACTAACTCAGTTTAGTAAACAGCATCAAATCATATATAGGATGTGACTTCAAACAGCAAATTGAGAAGCTAATACGCAAAACAGACTATATTATGAATACTTATAGTACAACATAGTAAACTAAATCTGAATCTATTTTTCTGTTTTTTCAGGTGCTGTCTTTTAAATTGTATACTGCACATAACTTACAGTTATTGCTGATATACACAGCAGTCGTGCTGCTTCTTGGCTTTGTTATTGCTAAAGCACAAATAGCGCTACGGTTCTTTTGATGACATCAAGAGATGCATTGTGCTCTCTTATATTACATCTATAGTTCCCGTATGACACTTTGACAGGATGTTGAGATTTATACTAGTTAGAGATAAAAAGGCTCACTTTATTGTGTATGTGTGCAACTTAGTGTGCTCGATTTGTCCCGGCCATATGCTCTAAACAAATGTGTCTGCCTGGTTGTGCGTTTATGTTCACACTATCGATATTCTCACTATCAATGTGCATCAACACTGACTCTGGGACTTTTCAACTGTGTGGGTTCAGCTCCTTTTATTCTCTTTTCTTGCTCTTTCTCTAAAAAGAGAAAAGCCCCCTGGCATGAGCTGAGACAAGTCAGATGACATGACAGTGTTGGAAGGCATCGGGATAGCTGTGTGTGACTAACCCGCTTAGTGACACTCTCCTAACTGTTTCTGTTAATTGATAGGAACTGCAAGCTTGAAAGGAGATCCTGACAAACGTCCTGTAGAAAAATTGCAGAGTGACAGCATTTCAGCTCTGGGAATCAGGAGCAATTAAAAATAAGAAAATGGCATATAATAAAGTATGCATGTGTTTCTTTTGGAATTCATGTGCATATGTCACAGAGGAATTTCTTCACATACAGTGCATTTAAGTGTGACTGAGAGAAAGTGCAGTGAGTGGGGAGGATTGATGAAAGGAAAGAAGGAGGTGATACAATACACAGAGCCCCAGGGCTAATAACTGAAACCCCCAGTGGTCTTAGAAGCAGCTAGTGCAAAGAACAAGTATAACCACAGGTTGTCATTCTGATCGATAACGGCTACATGGCTGTAAGAGTTGAATCGTCTAACATCGACAAAAACTGCCACTGAACACGCTTGCTGCAGGTGGTGTTGTAGAGTTGGTTCTTATATTCATCCTGAGAAAGATTAGAAGGTCTTCTCCAATACAGAACATCTCATGTCTGGAATCCTACTTGCAAACTTGGCAAGTTAGCAGACGACAACAACCGCAAACAGACCCTTTTTGGGGAAAATAATCTTATTGACAGTGATATTCTGTGAAGAGATGCACCTGTTAAAATGTTATCCAGCAGTTTTTCAGCAGTAGATATTACATCTTTGGAACAAAATTACTTCTTTTCAAATCACAGTGGGTCTCAGAGGCAGCAATAAGTTACTATCGGGCTTGGCAAGGGAATAGAGTTCCTGGCAGGATGATCAGAGGTTTTTGGTGTGCTCGTCATGTCAGGAGCTGGGCAGTTATCTGCTGAGATGACTTTAAAAAGTAACAGTACTGCACCTCAATCCATTCCATGAAAATAGCCAAGTGCAGAGAAAAACTCAAAACGCTTTTGTTGACATAATGACGATTTCTAAAACACTAAAAACAGTCATAAAACATTTCTTGGCCTGCGTTTTGTTATTATGAAATATATATAGTTGCTTGATAATTCACTTTTGGCATCTTGCCAACAGACTCACCCAAAGGATAACCTTTACAAGTAAAATCACACTGAAATTTGCTGCCAATATTTATGCCACATGGAGGTAAACATGAATAAAGAGGTTATAAAGCTGCCAACAGTTGACTTTTCTCCATAAATAAACTGTTTTGTATTGTAAAGTTCACCCTTTTCTCAATTAAACATGCTGATTATCAGCATGGAAGAAGGGAAACATATCAACGTGGGTGAGTACCTCAATGGTGAATTGCATTTTTACCTAATTTGCTTGTTGCCTGGGATAATTGAGATATATTTGGCTGATATTTTGAGTTGTGGCTAAAGTGGTGCAAACACTGCCTATGATTATAAGTTAAATTACAGTTAAAATAGCGGGAGCGCTATAGATTACGACTGAAACACGGTCCACTGCACAATACTTTCACAGTTAACACTTTACATTTCTTTGCTTTTGTGTGCAGCACCACCTACACTAGTAACCTCTTGATTCTCAGTAAGACCCACATGAATCCAAATATTGTATCCATTAAATGAAAGTGAGCAGCTCTTTTCATTTCAGAGAAATAAATATACAACTCCAGCGGCCCTAACTGAAAGCAGATGGCTGTGCAAGCAACAGACCCTTTTTCTCTCTTTGTGTCTTTGTTTTTTTTATTGAAGGGCCTCCTGCAAAGATGAGGTGAACCAAAAGAAAAGATTTTCGTCTGGTGTGAGTGTATATGCAGGTGGATTTGTGTGCGAGTGTGTGTCTACTTCAGTGAGGATACAGGCATACAAGTGTATAAATGTGCCATGGCAGCAGTGCCTACCGACTGCAGGCTATTTTAATGAATAGCACCATTCAGGGCGAGACATGAAGGAAACAAATTTGCTGAAAACACTTCCTTCCGTGAAGGGCCCCAGCTGGTTGGTTGACTGGTTGCTGGCTGCCTAGCAGGCTAAATGGTGTATGTGTGTCAGAGTGGGTACAGCAGGCGATAAGCCTTGCTCCTCTTTATTGGCCATCAGAGTTCCAGGCTTGAAAAAACAACTTCCCTATTGTTGCTCATAAATCAAAACCACTAAATGCTCTTTCAAACTCAATTCCTATTTTCGACTGCAGGGCCATAGCCATAGCTTTGGTGTAATGATCATTCAATTACAGGCCACTCATACAGGGAGTAAAGAAGACCGATATAAACAATGATCCCCTATCTATCATTTTTCTCTCCTGGGTCTTGAGAGAACTGTTTACATCTGCCTTTGTCTGTCAGGCGTTTATCACACATCTACCTTTGTTTGCATGGAAGCCTGTGTGAACACTCATGCAGAAAAAAAACACGAGCATTTACAAATCTTAATAGGATGATTTGTTATCAAATAAGAAATCTGTTCTCTTTTTTCTTTTTTTCGCATCGTCTATCACCCCTTGCTCCCATTTGCTTTTTCTATTTCTTACTCTATCTAGTGTCACTCTTTTAAACGCTTCCTTTCTCAGTCACCATCTCTCCACTATATTACCACATCTTCCACTCTGCCACGGTGCACAGTCTGCAGTCTGAATCTTCCTTGATAAAACGGGACAGCCTGACAGGCTAAGCAGAGTGCTGTCCCTCTACCTCATTTTCTCAGCATTAATCACCAAGGCTTTCAACTGCAAAGAAGAGACTTGTCTCTGTGGGACTCTCCCAGTGCTTTGCTGATCAGTCCTCTTTAGCAACTGTACAGATGCAAATTTGTCATTTGGTTAGTTGAACAAATGCAGTTAATAAGGAAAGGCAGCCTTGTTTTAAGATAAATGGTGCTGTTACCAAAAGGTCACAAGTTCACTTTCTTTAAGAGCCTGTCTGCAGTTCTTTGACCTGTCAGTGCACCCTAGAACAAGACTGATGATTCATTTTAAGTCAGACTCTTTGAATCTTTTTCTTAAAGACATATGAATTGTTTTGACAGTAAAATATTGTGAGAATGGAATGACAAATGTCGTAGCAAATGTCACATATATAATTTCTGTCACCTGGACACATGCATATTGCAAATTGTTTTGTTTAATCTATGCAGTGTTTCCAGGGGTCGCCAAGTGGGTTTTGCCAAGTGGAGGTAGTGTAGGTAAGGGGGCAAAAGGGGAAAAAGACTCATTTACAACTAAGTCTTACAATAATTTTGTAGGGTGTATTCATATAAATGTTGCTCCTTCTTTAGGTTTTCCTTTGCTCTTTGTCGTACATGCTACATAGTATATGCAGGAGTTATGTGAGATATTGTATTATGGCTGCTTTCCAAAACCTAGCCTTTATATACATGGAAATTGAGAAGAGTTGCTAAAGAAATTCAAATTCAACTCGACTTCATCTTGAAACAAGTCCTGTTACTTAGCAACGATAATGAATCAAATTTTGGGCAGTTATTTTAGTAATTATTTTGAAACATTATCAAAATTACTCTTCATTTCAATGGTCAGGAGACCATAAAAACTGCATGTACAAAATATCCAAATCCAATCAAATATACTTAAACATTTGTTGACTTTGCTCATAAATAAGACTTTTTTTTCACTTTTTCCAGCATATTTGCTGTTATAAAATCTCCCATGAATTTCATTTTTAGAAATTGCTTGAGTTTCATGTCTATCTTTCTTATGATGCTACTGCTGCTAGCTCAACCCAACAGTTGTGTAGCAAAGACCACAGTCTGCCTACTGCACAACGTGCCCAATAAGTCTTTTGCACACTGCCCAGTTTGGCCAGCACCTGCTGTCCTCCATGACTTTAAATAAGATGAATTTCAAAAATCATTTAATTTGATTTCATCATATGAATTGCCAACTTTAGCCATAAATCATACAGAGATCCACTGAAAGCTAATATGAATTAGTCCTAAGCCTTAAATTTTCAGCTTACCAAATGTCACATGCTGAGCAGCACTTACATTTGAAATTAATCTCTCAGTGTCCTCTCTTTGTTGCATTTTTCTCCACCTAAAGTGGGACGTTTTCAAACATCTTTGTTCTTCCTGGAAAATACGTGAACTGTGCACATCTAGCTAGCACACAGATTCTGTGCCAAACTGCACAGAGAACCTGTTTGTCAGTGGTGATGTTTGTTGAACTGCTAGAAAGGTTTCCTTTGAGATTACCCATAAAAAAGTTATTTTGTTAATGTAGTGCTAGCTAGATGCTGAAGTACTGCTGGTGCAACATTATTGATATCTGCATACTTGTTATTAATCTCTGGCTGTCTTCACCAGCATGTCTTTTATACTGTCTTCCTTCTCTTACCCCAATCGGTTGTGGCAGATGGCCGCCCCTCCCTGAGCCTGGTTCTGCTGGAGGTTTCTTCCTGTTAAAAGGGAGTTTTTCCTTCTCACTGTCGCCAAAGTGCTTGCCCATAGCGGGTCATTTCATTGTTGGGTTCCTCTCTGTTTGTATTATTGTAGGGTCTACCTTACAATATAAAATGCCTTGAGGCGACTGTTGAATTCAATTGAATGCATAACAGGAATGAATCAATGGTGGAGAAGGGGTTGCAGTAGGTAGGGTAGGGTCAAGTGGTGAATTAACCGTAGCATCAGCTGGAAAGATGGAGTTAGTAAGTTAGGCAGTTTCATACAAAATACTAACTATCAGATTTATTTAGTCATTGATCGAAGATTCTGTAATGCTATTCTGGATCATTCCAGCCCTCTTAAACCCCAGAGTGTACCAATAATACAAGGCAGTGACAATAAATTATAACAAATCAGTATACAATGGTACATTTGTTGTCATACTCCACTGTGTTTTACTTTTGACTGGAATGTCATGACACTATGGTTAAACACTTATGTCTACTGGATTTACAAATGCTAAATGCCTATTTTTAATCTGTCACAGCATATCACAGTTAAAACTTGATGATATAAAGGATGAAGTCAAAAGACACAAAAAAATACATTTGCATACTGAAACTATTAAAGATTTTGTTTTCATTTTTGTATTGCAGTGAATTCTAACTAAAAACACACAGAAAACCTCCAACTTTTGCCAGCAGGCATGTAAAGTTCTCTGGCTAAAAATGGCTCTCAGTGCTGTCAAAAGTGTCACCTGCTTCAACACATAAGGCAGAGATGGTAAAGATGTAAACTACCTAGCTGAGTTTCCCAGATGGGTTTCACGAAGTCTTTCAGGAGAACAGTGGCAGTGAGACACTGAATAATTTCAGATTTATTTTACCTTTAAATTCAGTCTGGAATGGTATTCAGGCAGATATGGACAGATGCAGATTTGAATAGGTATGCATGTATAGGTTTCTGTAAGCATATATTAGTTTAGTTGAATGTGTTAAAATCCATTCTTCATGATCAATTCTTTCTATTTTATTTTAAATAATTTTTACTAATTCAACATTTTCTTCTTTGCTTTTTGTCTTACAGGGATACCATCTAGGCCTAGTGTTTGTTCTTCTGGATGGCACACACACACTTACATGCATACATTTACATTTATATGTATCAGCCACAACCTTAAAACCAGCGACCGTTGAAGTGAACAACATTGATCAGTTCATTTAAATGCAGCACTCTTCTGGGAAACCTTGGGCTCTGACATTCATATGGATATTACTTTGACTTGAACTGCTTACCTAACCTTTGTTCCAGACTAAGCACACCCCACCATTGCAACAACACTCCCCAACAACTGCAACCTTCCCAAGCAGTATAATTTACCCCAGTGATATAAAAACTCCTCAGGAATGGGTGAAGAACACGACAAAGACAAAAGTTTCCAGATACTTATCTGATGATGAATCAGTGGAATTCTCCAGAATGAGCCACAAATTCACAGGAGATATACTCTACAGAAGCCAGACACCAGAGGACACCCAGCCTCAGACACCCCATGTCCATATCGTGACAGGTTAGAGTTGCTTTTGTAGATCAAGTGGAACCCAGTGCTAGGCAATTAGATTTATTGTTATGGCTAATCTGATAAAAATTTAAGAGGCATTTACAAAAAGTTCCACTTCTCCATAAAAAAGCAAAACCCAGTTAAGTAAGTTATTAAGTTCTTTTGATGTCTTGCACTACTTACAATGCTCCTACTCCATTTATCATATCAAGTAGCCAACTCATGTAGGTAAGTAATAATGGTGGTAAGTGACAGTTGGATTGTTATGACTAAAAACTGCTATGTACACATTGCAACACAAGCTAGATTATTTGTGCCAAATGCTTCCCCTTAAACACTTCAGGATGTAAGCAAAAAGTCTGAACCTGGAGTTACACAGTACATGAAACAAAAGATAACCATGACTTTGGTCATGCTCCTGACCTGATGTACCACCTATTTGGACATTATATTCCCTTCTACTACTGACTGCTGCTTAGTCACTTGGCTCTATCTGACCCATCTCTAATCATTGTTATTTACATTTTGAAGAGATCTAGTTCCTTAATCCAGAAAGAATACCACAGGAGATTCAGATATTAATTGTAGGATATGTTTACCTGGCTGCAGAACTAGGGCAGCCACACATCTATAAGTTATAAAAGTTCTAAGTTATTTTTGAACTGCCAAAAATATTATGCTCATCCATTTATTCAGATAAAATATTTTCTAATTTAATATCAGCTCACTGACTTTTATATGGCTGCAAATACAAGTAAACATAGTATAGTAAGACTCCAGATAAAGGCTTCAAAGCTACCTGTAGAATTTATTCTTTATGTTACAAATCACAATCCCTAACATTAACCCACTGAACCCTTCCTAACAGCAAAGCAGGTATAATCTAAAAATATAATATAGAGTAAGTTTGCCACTAAACTTTGTCTATAAGTTACAGGACAAAAACAAAAATATATATATAAAAAAAAAAAAAAACAAACAAACAAAAAAAACAGGTTGCCGGATTCTAGTGCTGGAGAAGATAGAACATTTATGGGGAGATTCACCACATAGAGCAATCTGATCACTTAATAAACTGGATTTTCACACAAAGAAAAAAAAATGCTTGCCAAGCTCTCTTTTCTGCCACCTCAGTGCATTGTGTTTCATTTTATCTTGTTGCATGGAAAGCAAGTGCTTTGAGAGCAGATGTACCTGATCCTTTTGCCAACTTGACCAGGCAACTCAAAGCCATATGAGCTCCAGAGCCCCATGCTCTGTTATCATTTAAAACAGAAACTACATCTCTCTACCACTCTTTCTCATTCATTTCAAATCTCTGAGATATAACAAAAAAATACCCATTAGGAATAGCTGGGGTAGGACCTACTTTGGGAGAGCAAGAGCTAAAGCATCCACACAGATCCACTTTGTTGTATGTATTGATTTTCTGTGTGCATGCAATTCACATGCAGTTCCAGACATCAGAATGATATTGCGTCTGTGGTTGAAATGACGCATTTCCTGCTTCAATATTTAGAACACACGTAAGAGAATAAGTGTACTTGTCCTGATATTGCATCCATTGTGACTGAGTGACTGAATTGCAGGAACTCTCTCACTGCCAGCTCTACTTTCCACTATTCATTTTTTTCCCTTCCAACACTCTATTTTTTGGTTCATTGGCTTAATTTCCCTCTGCTGGAGTATAGAGGATGTGAAGAAAAATCTTCAAAGGGTTTAGATGGTGTGTTCCACAGATTCATTGGCTGCACTGAATATTTAGTGTCACATGCAGATGCAGATGGAAAAAACGTGTGCATACAGTTACTAGAGCGTTAAAAACATCCACACATACCACTTATTTACTTATTTACATTTTATGTTTGTTACGATTTGGGGTCAAATTATATATCCTAGAAGTATATATATATATATATATATATATAATGTGAAAATTACACTTTGTTTGAGCCACATTTTTGGACTAAAATATTGACATTACCATTTAATACAGCGAGGCATGGCAATAACTCCCTTTTCACAGAAAATATTTAAACCTTTTTATGCTAATGTAAGCATTTTATTATTCAATACTTATTTTTTCTCCTTTTTTTCATAATTTTAATTGAAGTTAAATGATTCCTGCATTGGTTTGCAATAATTTGTCCAGATGACAGCCATTGCTCTAGTTTTTCATTAAAAAGCAGCAGAAATAGAAAATTAAACCTATCATCACCAATTATACAAAATGCCAAGACATATTCGTTAATAATCCACTTATGTGGATTAGCATATGATTATGCAGTGTTTCCAATTAAGTAAAAAGGGTAACATGTTCAAGATATGTGGTGTCTACATCTAAACCAGTGTGTTTACTGCCTCATTGCATGCATCATGCACGAAGGGTGATTTGATTTAAAGCACTTTTATTGACAAAGACACAAAAAATTATATTATTTAATATTTGATAGTATTAACAAGTATTATTCATATTAAATTTAAAAAAAAAACACCTGACTACAGCACCAAAAGATTGTATGAAGTCTGAAGTCTGTGTCTGTTGAGTGGCTGATTGATATTGATGAAACATAAACAAACTTTATGGTGGAGAAGTTTTTCCCCATCTTCTTGTTCAGTTTTGAATATTCAGTTCGAAGCAAGAAATAACATCATGTTTAGTAGTACTCAATCATTTTATGTAATTATTGTATCTTATATGAACATTTGTGAAAACACAGATTAATCAGTAATGCAAAGGTCAAATGAAGACAATATGCAATGCAACAAAAAATGCAATAATAAATCAGTTTGAACTCTAAGGTTCAGATCAATTTCATAGAAAATGTTGGTAGGATGCAAATGTTTTCTTTTTTTTCTAAATTAGCATTTTAAATCTGTTAATAATAATAATAATAATAATAATAATAATAATAATAATAATAATAATACATTAATAGAAGGGTCTTTGAATATTGCCAAGGATTATACATAGCTGTTTTGTATGCCATCACTGCATGGTATGATCACAGTTGCCATTAGGTTAGCCACTTTATTAGGGTTAAGCAAAGACGTGTTTTGCTTGTTCTGTTTTAATAAGTTTGTAGATCTGTGAAAGATAAAATGTCTTGTATCCTACATGAAAAATCTGATGTTTTAGGTAAATTGTGTTTGAGATCCTTGTTCAGTTGACACTGAAATAAAGTGTATTGTGATCTATGATCTTTGTAAACTGATTTTCAAAGATTTGCTCATTTTAAAACCTGTTGTGCATTTTTTTCACATGTAAATTAGAAAACTAAAGTAACAATAATGGCAGTCTCTATAAACTGTCCTTGTATCTTCCTTCTTTCCCTACTTTATTCATCACCCTCTTCCCCTCTGTCTATGAGGCAGAGGCTGAAGAGATGGGACGTTTCAACCCTTGATGCCCTGTATGTCAGGCTGTGTTGTGGAACTGCCAGTGAAATCAGACTGCCAGAGAACTATTGGTGCAACCCCAATGGAGCCTCAGAGCACTGACTTTGTTCCACCTCCAGCAGTGACTGGGCATTTTCTCTGCAGAACAATAGTCAGTCAAATAATCAGTTTAAACAGTGCTGAGAAACTTTTTTTCTATACGACTGAACTTGTATGCATTTACCCAAAGCCTAGTTGCAAGAATCACATATGCATGAACTCTGACCCTTTATGTGTATGTTAGGGTTGTTGAATGTAGAAGATAACGGACTCTATATAAAATAGAATTCTATTGTTCTGGTGACTTTGGCCACAAATTGGCCTTTGCAGTTTTTATTTTTATTTTTATTTTTTTGGTCATTCCACAGACATGGCTTATTGATTCTTTATTGAATAATGTTTTGTTCTGTTTTTCTTATTTGCCTAGAAGTTTTTACCACACCTTAGAAGACAGTGAATGCCATATACTGTTATATTATGTGTATATTTTGTGAATATAATGAGATATTTCTGTATGTACTCCTATTGTATGGCTCTGCTTGATGATCATCTCCACATCTTCACAATATTAGCCATTTGTACCTGTTTGAATGACTACAGCTTTTTACATTTTATGAATTTAGTTGATCCCTTTTTCCTCCTTTATACACTGTTACCAAGTAAGGCTTGTTTTTTGTTTGTGTTTATTTATTAATTTATTTTCCAAAGATAATATGTGCATATGTCCATGTTTTGTCAATAAATGACCCCTGCTCATTTTCCCATATATATATATACATTGAGTCATCACTCAAAGTGCAGACTGAAAAAAGAAATCAGAACAACAATGAGATATATTTGCACTATTTCTCCTTATAAAACCTTATCAAACTCTGAGCTCACGCTACAGCATCTCAGTTGGGTTGAGGACTCATTTCAAGCCTTTTTTCTTGTTTTCCAAACATTCTGCTTTAATTTGCATCAGGTAATTTTAATATTGCAACACCCAACCTTTAGATCATACACTATTGCTCTGATTTTTTCCTTTAAGAGTTTCAAACTCACTGTTCCGTCAGTGATTACGGAATAACCCGGGCTTAAGATAGGAAAAGAGTCTCAAACTGCGATGCTCTATTTTGGTATTGGCGTGCGGTGCCTATTCCCGCTAACAAAATGCTGTGCAAGTTATCTAGATTTCTTCTATTTTTCACGTCTTTTATGATGCATGTTATACTCCCAGTGTGCTCTTTTGAGGGAAGCGCCTAAATGTCCTGTTTGTAGACAGTTTTGGACTGGTGAACACCTCTCTGTATAAATGCTTTTCTAGCTTTATATCAGGTTCATACATCTATGTAATACATCACTTATGGTCCTATGAAAGTTGTTTCAATTCAGAGATGGTTTAGACCAGCTCCCAAACTTAGCATGTTTTTATTTATAAGGAGAGAAATCTTTACAAACCTCATATAAGATGGCATTAACTTAATTGGAACACCTGACTTCAAGTAGCCTCTGAAGAAGTCATTAAAATAGGTTCATCTACTTTTTTGCTTTAGCCTGCACCGTGAATGATTACTCTGTGTGTTTAATAAAGACATGGCAAAATTACCTTTGTTTGTGTGTTATTAGTTTAGTCAGAAAATCTTTGAGGCTCTTGTGAGATTTGTAAGACACAATCTGTTGTTTGTAAAACGTTCAATATGCAATTTATGTAGTTCTTCTCAATAGGACACATTTCCTTATTATTGACAAAATAGAAACTCGATACGGTTTAATATAGCTTAATTTGTTTCCTTTAACTACATTATATGAAGACCATATCTTGCTGTAACTCAGTGGGTTTAGGCATATTCAAACTGAGCATTAGAATGGGGAAGAAAGGTGACTTAAGTTACTTTAAATACAGCATGATTGTTGCTGCTAGACTGGATGTCTAAGGATTTAAAAAAACTGCTAATCCAATTGGATTTTCCACAGAATCATCTCTAGAGGTTACAGAGAATGGTCCGAAAAGGTGAAAATATCCATTGAGTACCAGTTGTCTGAATGAAAATCCCTTTTCAGAGGTCAAAGGAGAATGGTGAGACTGCTTTGAGCAAAGGTATGCAACAGTAACTCAAATAGCCACTTGTAACAACCAAGTAAATCACAAGAGCATCTGTGGAAGCACAAGACATCTGGTGGTACTGGTGTAAAACTTGGGGGGGGGGGGGTTTATGACTGTAGTGTACCCATCTTCTGATCTGCTTCAATCCATCAGAAACAAGCCATATTATTAGGTACAAATCATCTTGAACTGGTTTCTTGAACATGAAACAGTCACAAGATCTCAGTCCAACAGAGTGTCAAAGCAATTTGATAGATCAGAAGATTAGCATCATGGATGTTCAGTCAATAGATATGCAGCAAGTGTGCGATGCTATTGTGTCAGTATGAACCGGATCTCTGAGGAATGTTTCCACTACCTTGTTGAATTCAAGCCATAAAGAATTATGGCAGTTTGGGAGGCAAAACAGGGTTCAACTTAGGACTATAAGGTGTATAAGGTGTACCTAATCAAGTTTCCACTAATTGGAGCATGTCATGACAAAAAAGGTAGAGGAATGATTTATGGTGACTCATTCAAGCATTTATGTAATTCACTCTGAGTATTATCTGCTCCATGAGTGGGGGTATGCTACAATAAACTACAGCTGATCACACTGCAAACACAGAGTGCACTGCAAACAGGTACACAAGCAATCATGTTTAGACAGCTAATATACAAGCATGAACACGTATGCAGGCAACACATGGCCAGGTGTAGGTGAAATATTGCGCCTCAACCTCTATCACACGCTCTAATCCCTCTGCATTTCAGCTTCTCTACATTAAGAGCAGCTGGCAGGCAGAAATAACCCAGACCACGGAGGGAAAAAGTACATTTTATTATCCAACTTCCTCTTCCGTTTGGATGGTGCTTGTGAGACCTGTCTTAGTCTTGGTCACAGCAGCCAATCAAAAAAGGGTAGAGTGCCATCTATTGGCGTATAACCTGAATCCTCAATTTTCTCCATCCCCACCTATCCACTCTCCCTCCCCCCACAGACACACAGGCACACGGCTCCGACACACTGACTCACCATATGTTTTTACACACGCAAAAGGAAACACAGTTTGAGCACACACTGTAACCCCGCACACACAAAGACTGACACGTGGAAACGTTCTGGTTTTTTTTTACCCACACAGTTGCTAGGACACACGGATTCATACATTTATTAATACTAATAAATACAAATCAGCAATAATTTCTACAGAAAGTTAAAATAAAAGAAAAGAAAATATCATAAAAATAAAAAATGAATAATATTAAACACTACTACATCACACTATTAAGCTATATTAAGGTATTAGTAAGCTATTAGCAAGTTGTTAT